CGTTACTGAGGGGTCTTAGACTCAGGTAGTGAGGAAAAAGACTAAGCCTGCACCACCAGCAGCTACAAAATCGCAACCAGCCAGCGAGCCTAAGTCAAAAGCGACAGGGCCCACACAAACTCCGAGGCCTACTGCCTTAGCTCCCAAGCTAGCTCGCCCAGACGAGCGTGTTTTCCTGCGGGTCAAGCCCGACCAACCATGGAGACGCATGTCTCCTCATTACATCAAAATGAGCCTCGCAAGCAAGCTGCGCTTAGCTAACTCTGCAATTAAGCAGGTTATCATTGTCAACTCAGGGTTTGCGATACTAGCTTAAGGAGACGGAGCAAGAAACGCGCTCCTCTCAGGCGCCGTACTCCTGGAGAGCACGGAAATGAAACTGAAAGCTGCTTCCAACTGGATCTCAGTGTTGGCGCCTAATGTACCAGACAGACTCTTCACTTTAGAAGGACCAACGCCAGTAATATCGGAGATGGTAATGGAGGAAGCGACCTTAAAGACAGGCGTTAGACCGACCTCAGCTCGTGCCTTTGCGACAAGCATGGCTAGGCCGTCCACCGACTGGGTGTTGTATTTTGCAACCGGCAAGCCAAAGCTGGGAGAGAGACTTTTCGAAGAGAGCGGTCGCTTACACGAACTTCAGCGTAAAGCCAAAATTGCGCAATGCAACCAATGCTGAGGATACCATCCAACTAAGATTTGTTCACGAGTAGAGCGCTGCTCCCGCTGTGACTCAATTGAACACAGAGCTACTGAGTGCAAACAGCTCGTTCCAAGGTGCACCAATTGCTATGGACCACATGCCGCAATTGAGCCTAGCTACATGGCAAGGCTAACGCGGGCTGGCGGGAAGACGTTGCAACGCACAAGAGACCAGCTGTTGGTGATCCGTGAGCAGGGTCAAAAAGAAAGGAATTCTTCGATCCGAGAGATGGAAGCAAAGCAGAAAGCCGCCGAGGCGACTGCCGACAACGAAACTACAAACGTTGCTCAATGCCCGGAAGGGACCACAACCTTACCGAGCTCTACACCACGGCAACTACGATCTCGTTCCTCTGTGCTAATTTGGGCAGAGGAGACCCCGCTACGGACATCATCCTGCAATCTGCTTGGGATTCAGGAACCGATGTCCTACTTATCCAGGAACCCTCGACCCAACACAAGGACGGCTTCCGGCTCACCAAATCGCATCTCGGATTCGATAGGCATTTGCCTCCCCGTGTTGCTGCCAACTCTTCAAGGCCGCGCCCCCTCATCTACACGCAAAAGCGGATCAATTGCCAACAGCAAGCAATCTGTGAGACACCACCAGATTTCACCACAGTGAAGATAGAAGGAGTCACTTTTGTCTCCGTATATCGCGCTCCTGTATCAGACCTTTTGCCGCTACTATCATGGGCTCCATCTCGGTCGGCAGTAATTAGCGGAGATTTCAATACCGTTTACACCTTCTGGCAGCTAATGGCTACACGGTGACGGCCAGGTACTCACCGAATGGCTATTCATCACAGGCAACATATCAATGATCTTTCAAGTAACATAAGAAGAAAGGAAGAGAGCAATGACAAAACACCTGTACGCGGTGTCTTCTACGAATCTGGGAGTGTATGATTCTCCCAGAGCCAATTTTAGTCAAATTTCGCCATACCGAACGAGTTGGCCCACGAGGCGATGATTCAAGACTCTCCACCTAATCAATTTCTCCCACCCAACGAGATCGATCCTCACCAAGACCTCATCAAGTTTACAGGTACGACTTAGTACATCCTTCCTGGGTGGGTATTCACGGACGAGGGTTGACACGGGGTGAAGGAAAAGCCGGCATAACTTCGCAGTGGTAATTGCAAATGAAATCCGAGGCATGAGTGCTCTAGTTTTAATTGAGTTATCTATCATGCACTTTTCTTTGATATCGCGTCGTAGTTAAATAGCAGCTTACGCAATTAAAATCTGATGCAAAAAACAGCCCGGTAGACCTCAAAAACTACTCAATAATTAATGCACCGATTGTTTAGTTCATCTTATTAAATTACGATGATATTTATACCCAAATGGAGGATACTAAGTCACAACACACAAAGCTCGGATCTTGATCCATAGAGGATTTTCGATCTATTGGTGTTTCATACCTGAGGGGAAGGCAGGCAGCTGCGGCATGGAGCGAGTAATTGAAGAGGTCACAAATGAGCATTCAGGGACTCACATTTTTCGAGTGTTTTCAACTTGAGGATGATTATGGGCGCTGAGGCCACGATTTCGGATAGGGCTACCAATGTTAAGTGGCTATGGAAATTGTACACAGTGATAGAGTTGGATTACGATACCTATGGTGGTCTGACGTTTTGGAAGCATCGATGACTTATTAATTGTTAATCGCTCAATTCCTCACTTTTGGACAAATGTAATTTGTAGACTTAGCTCTGCTCTTTAGCTTCATTAACTTTTAAACCTTGAGTTCTTGCTTGCCATATTCTGCGTGTCACAACCAACACTTCCAGTTAAGGACACACCACGCTTGCTTTGGTGGATGGATTGTGAGAAAATGATTACGGTTAGTACAACAACGGTTGGCGCAGGTCATGGCATTGACGTAGAAAATTATCTATTGGTAAAGAACAACGCGGGGGTTTTAGGGGAGGCGCATGGTACCGAACATAGAAATTTCGTCATTTTCACGTTCCTCAAAATCATTTTCATTTAATCTTTCTTCCATTTTTGCATCAGATTTTAATTGCGTAAGCTGCTATTTAACTGCGACGCGATATCAAAGAAAATTTCATAATAGATAACCCAATTAAAACTGGAGCATTATACCTCGAATTTCATTTGCAAGTACCACTGCAAAGTTATGGCCACTTTTTCTTCATCTCAAGTCAACCCTCATCCATAAATACCCACTCAGGGGGACGTCTTAGAAGTCCCGAGTTATCGAGACATACTTCCGTCGTCCACTGAATTTCTTCCGCGCGAAATGTGATCTTAGGTGTCTCCCTAAATAGAGTAGGTACCCAGGCTGCTCAAACTATGCCAGAGAAAGCCATCAGGAGGTGGACCACGGTATCTTAAATCATTGGCTTGTTTATAGTATCGACTATAATCTCGCAATCAAGATCTTGGCGCGCACAATGCTCTTCAACTTATAAAACTTCTGGCCGAAATTCGAAATCTCACACCCATCGAGATTGTATCCTTTCTTTTAATCACTTTGTCATCTTTTCCGAACTTCTCTCACGCTCATTCCAAAGAACTTCATCTCAAATTTTTGCGCCACAATTTGTTTCCTCTGAGGGGTGTAAATATCGACGTGGGCGTGTATTTGGAGACCAGCTGAGGCTAGAAAAAGAATCGAGAGGTATAGTCATTGAAAGAGAATGTACTTAGTTATGTTAGTAGACTTGATGAGGCTTCATTAGGAATTCACCTCGTTTGAAGTGAAAATTTGATATGGCAGAGTTTCTTGTCTCATTGCCTCGTGGGCCAGTTTCTTTGCTATTGCTGAATTTGACTGAGCTTGACTCTAGGAGAATATTTCACTACTAGGTTTATAGAGTATATCGCCTACAGGTGTTCAGTCTTAGTCCTTTTATGTGTCACTTACAATTGTACTTGTAGCGCACATCTGCCACACACATAGCACCAATCTGAACATGAGACTCTTCTTGCCAACTTCTTCTTTCGTTCTAGGAATATTGTGCCCATTTTATTGCGCGATATTTCCAACAAAGTCTACTCTTAGATCCAAGGTTTGGTCATCTACCGACGTTCAACCCGATTTTTTCTGACTGAAATCCTTATCATAAGGAGCGGTGCGAGGCTAATTTTGATTGGAATTCCCGGATTGCAATAATGAGTCGACTTTAATAAGCGAGAAAATTGTAAATACCATCCAAGCCGATATCAACTCAAGCTGAATATCGCACTTCCCCTCGATACACCAAACAAATTCAAAGTCCCTAATTATTGCCAAAAGTAACAACATGACCTGCGACCCTCTATTGCATCACTGCTATGGATGGGGAATTATTGGAGGGCGCCAAACTCGGGTTGCTGAGTCTGGATTTCTATTACCAAATGCAAGCCTGCGATTGAATCTGGGAAAGATGCTTGGCCGTGGAAGTATTGGAAGTAGTTGAAAAAGAGGACTCAGGATTAACTGGGTATCACGAATACGGTAGCAGCCATTCTTCAAATTTCTCATAGCTTTCTTAGGCCCTGAGGAGTTGCTGGACTTCACACTTCAACTTTCTGGCCGTTGTTGGAATATAGGCATGTTAGGTAGTCAAAATAGACAGAGCTAACCATCACCACGCTGAATAATTAAATAGAAAGGCATAATATTCAATCACATGAATAGGTCAATAATGGAGCAGTTCTTGGCAAACTACAATGTCCAAATTCATCGCCACTCACAGAAAGATCCTAAATCGCTTGTTGAGAGCCTAAGGCCAACACGTTTATGTCGTCATAACAATCGGCCACGCAGCCCTGACTATAAACTCCAACAGGGACCTGTGTAGATACTTACACTAGGCAGGGGTTGTATGATGGCGTAAAAAGGAGTATATTTCAAGAAGCATAAACATTCCCGGCCCATAAATTGCCAGGAGCTTAGCAGCCTAATTTAGTCTTAGACGCAATAGCAAGAAAAGAGGTTTGGGTAATAAATAGACTTGGTTTTGTAGAGGATAGCTGTGGTGTTTCCCAGGGAAATCTAGAAGCTTTGAATGAAAGCTTGAATTTTCTATTGATAGACTGCCAACATCGCCAACTGAGACATTTCGCCTGAATAAATGTGGCATGTGATGTTAAAGTATGCTGCGCAACGATTCTTCTGGATAGAGCTGGAACGGAATGTTAGCAGGGACTTCCTATCACTAATGCAGGAAGGCGGGAAGGTCAGAGAACGTGGGTTCGATTAAGACCATGGGGTTTCACTATTATCAGGAGATATTTCAAGGGAACCACTTGCGAAGGGCTTGATTTAGCAGCTCTAGCATAATGTTGCGTTTCACATACTTCTTAGGTAAGCCGTCGGATCTGCAAGTCATGACTAGTAATAATTGCTCACTCTGCCGCCGACTACTAATAGTCATGACACCATAACAGGAGAATGTCGCACTCTATCAGAAACTGCTTTCACTCTTCAAGGTTACATACTGATGAATGTCAAGAGGTACGCTTTGGACTCGACTCCCCTGCAATCCCGCGACTAACTTACCAGAAACTCGCGAATAAAAAAAGCAGCACGTCTTGGCAACAAGTCTGAAAAATGCGGACGTCTATTTTACAACCTAGCCTTTTGAAGATCCTCCTCGCTACCTTACTCACTGCGAGTACATTGATGGCCTCGCCCAACCCTTTATCGGAAACTGAATTACTCAAAAGCCCAGACGTGATCTCTTTGGTGACCCGAGATCGAACCGATCATACGAAGTGCCAGACAGGCGAGCGGCCTATATCCACGACTAAGTTTGGCAGGGTAAAATGTAGTGGAAGCACAAGCATCTCGGCATCGTACTTGTGGAAATTCTATGGCACAGTGGGCATCATGTGGGCTTTAGAAATAGCCTGAAGTGATAGAAAAGACAAAGTCGGGCTAAACGGACTCAAGTCACGTCAAAACAATATGACCATAGAGTATAGCAGGGGCAATCCGAGAAGCGACACAGTAAAAAGTCGGAAGGGCACTACTTATGAAGGCTTCAAATTGCTCGGAACCGATGTTACACCGCAATGGACGTTGAGTATACTCGACAGTATCTCTTGAAAAATTCGACGGCGGAAGCTGAGGCATTAGGTGAAATCTTACAGCCTAATATCGATAATAGATTGTCCTAGGACAAGCTCACTACTATCATGCCATGCGAACCGGAATTCAAGGGGCCCCATCCTATCAAGCACCCGCATCATCCGTTTCGTATCCGTATAAAGTGCACTAGACCTAGTTTGGAAGATGGACGTGTAAAAAAATCCAAGACTCGTTTTATTCTGGTCCATCTCATTCTCTTTCTTGCTACGCATAGGTCCTTGTGATGAATGCATGTCTAATAGATGCAAGGGCAACCAAAACAGAAGACATAGTAGAAGATGGGGGTATTACTCGAAACTTAACTGATTTCGGTTTTTATCATCAGTCTCTATGTGACGTTACATGGCTTTTGAGTGATACCATTTCCTGTTGATCTATGTGCTCCGCCAGCGAATAGCCTAATGGTAGGACGGCCTGATGATATGCTGATCAGTATGATTTGCCTGGTTGATTACGTATCGGCTAGGCTGTTTGCCTCATGTTCCAAGGCCTTCGTTAATGCACATGAGCATGAACTCGTGTACAGTCTCTTATGGATGGCAAAGGTAAAATTGTCAAAATGACTGGGCTTAGGTCCCTACACATACTGCCTTAATTGGTATGATCTTCATGCAGGCCCATGCCTAGTTACTCGACCAGTTATGCGAGCAAGGGGTACTATCCAATGACATTCCGTGAAAGTCTAAATTATGGGGATGGTTTTGAACTCAATGGGAAAAGTACAATGGTCCTCAGTTGAAATTCAAAATTGAAAAAAGTCAATTGGTTTGATTTCATTTAGCCCGTTCAGGTACCCTATGGGCCCATGGAGGAATATCTAGCTATAATATTTACACAGGAGGAAACCATATTCGTTAAAAACCTCCCACAACTGTCTGTCTCGTGTCTATGTGATTTCAGAGGTTTCCTACAGGAAGTGCGTTTACACTGTACGTCCAGTGTGAGTACCGTCCTACCCTTTTCCCGGTCGCTCAATCCTTTCGCTGACTGCTGTCTCAACTTCTTCTGCAAGCCGGAACTGTTCAAGCCAGCCGTTTGTAAGTATCCACTCTGTAATTCTTTTCATGTCTTCTAGGCTGTTCATTATAGCTTCGAAAGACCTATCTTTTACCCGTTGCAGCACCTCTCCTCTCCCCTTAGCCCACTGAGGATAAGCCATGACCATATGTTTCACGTTTTGTGCCGGATATCCACACTGGCACTTTGGATTTGCCACTCCAGGGACCTTTCTTCTATAAAGATAAGAGTTGAGGCCGATATGCTCACTTCTTATTTGTATTGCAATACTACTTTGGGTCCTGCTCAGATTTCGGTGGATGTTAAAGGGTGTGTTTCTGTAGGTGATTCTTTTTCTACCTGTTCTCTTGTCGGTGCTTATACTTGCTGCTGTCCAATGTTCTGGGTCTGCCGACGCCTGATGAGAAGATAGTCGTTCTTCCTTAAAAGTATTCCATACGGTTAACGCCCCTATCTTGCCCGCTTCTTTTTGTCTACGCCTCACTTTTTAGTTCCCGCAGATTTTATTTCACTCGCTAGTGTCCTGGCTTCGATTTTTTGCGTGGCTATTTTCGCTCAGGCTGTGAGCCTGCGATATTTTACCACATGCGGATAGAATCGTCTGCTTGATGGATTGTCTTTCCGAAGAAAAAAGTCAATTGATATTCTCTAAAAATGCACATCTATTTCATAAATTATTACTCTATATTACAAAAGTCTACATCGAAGCCCTCAGTGTGGCTCGCAACTAAAATGAAAGCGTACTAAATGTTTTGTGTGTCTTCTCCATCCTAATACTTTGTGTACCCTCCATTTGCCTTTATCACTGCTACACATCTTTCGTGCATGCTGCCAACTTGTGACAATAGCTCCTCTGAAGGTATAGATTCCCATGCATCCTGTAGCAATGTCTTCAACGTGGCAGAGCGGACAAGCCTGACCCATTTATCTCAGGACTTATTTACCTGAATGTGGTTTTTTAAAATATTCCACAATGACTCGATCGGGTTCAGGTCCGGAGAGTAAGGTGGCCATCTAATAGGCGTTATTCCAACTTCACGCAGCGCCCCAATTGTTGAGTACGCATTATGACATGGTACGTTGACGTGCATGTGTAGAATTTCTGGATTTTCCAAGTGAAATTGATTCAAAAGAGGCAAAATCCTTTCACAAAAGGATGAGGCCCTCATTGATCCCCAATCCCTCTCCCTGACTAGGAATGGGCCTTTCTGTGATCCATAAAATGATTCCAAAAATATCCAACTGTTCCCATGAGCATGATAGGCTACAATACAGGTCTTATCAAACTCATCATCAGGCCAAACTCTGCTGTTATTACGAGGAAGATTTTGATAGAATTTATACGTACCTTTCTTGTGACACAAGGTTTCATATGAGAATCACCCGATACTCAGGTTTCATCAGTCCATAGTATGCGACTCCATTGTTCATCGCTCCAATCTAAATGTAATTGGGCGAACTCCAATCTTTTCTGCTTCTAAGCTGCGCCTAACGCAGGCTTCTTCCGAGCAATGCATCTGCTGTAACCTCTTTTTTTGGGTACATTAGAAATTAAACGTTCACTGCATTCCCAGTGGCTGAAGGGCCCCATGGCTTGTTCCAAATAGCACATCTATTAATTTTCAGGAGACTCTCGGACGAAAGCCTCAAGCTCATCAACTTGTTCCGCGCTTAATTTTGGTAAGGGTCCTTTGCGAGATATAGGATTCTCAGTCTCTCGAGCACACGCAAGTTGCACTTATCTTATTGTGAAGCCAAGTTTGTTGGATATATGTAGAAGTGTCAAGCCTAGTCTTATTAATGCTCTTATTTCAATACATTGATCGCAAGTTAGATGCTTGTGAACTTTAGTTTCTGAAGCAGACTTTTGGAGAGACCTTGTTGCTAGAATAGAGGATGAATTGATAGTGGTGTGAAGATTCAGGAACTGTGTAGGTCAGGCAGCCAAATGTGTAGTTGAAAATTTGTTTTTCTAAGCGATTATTAGAAGAAGACGATTGGACCATACTTTATGGCGAGCGGGGTAAGGAGGAGAGACATACTAACCTATTATGAGCTAGCTCAACTGCGCCTACAGGGCTGATCCCTTCAATGACCCAGTTTGAAGTTTTACATTTTGGAACCTAGAGGCACTGTAGGCTGACTGGGCAGGGTCCTCTGTGGGGCTGGTGTTGGCAAAATCAACAAGCAGACGATATGGGTTCTGAAACTAACATGGTCAGAGCTCCCCTCAGCCCACAGCACCCAAATGCGCTCAAAACTAAGCCACCGTCTGTTCATCCGATCTACTTAGTGACTAGCCCCGAGTTTGCAAGTTTCTAATTTTACTCGGGTCAAAGACTCGATGTTGCCCCCGCACGCGCAGCACGTACTTGAGCCATCTCCGTCTAGGAAGTGGTGCCAAAACTACAGTGTCCTTTCGCTGTGGTATTTGACCTCCAGAGCTGGAAACTCTACGGGTCCTGATTACTCCAGAAGGAGCGATCTATCAGTAAGAAACGGCTTCTCGATAAAAGATTGCTTTAAAGTAATCCAGCGTTGGTACTAATTACACAACCACTATTTAATCTTTGATGAGCCCTTTTTAGAGCTCACTGTAATAGATCAATTGTCTAGGTGATAGATAACTCTCCCTCTTGACGCAGAAAAGGCCTTTCTGTATTGATCAGAAAACCCAACATTTTACCTTTTAAACAATTCATCGTGTGCAATAAAAGCCACAGGTGGAGGGCACATTTGGTGTTACTCTACAGTTAGCAGCCTAGGCCCACTGTAATATGGAGGTTTTGGATTAAAGACGCTAGCACATTGAGTAGTCATTGTAGACCGAGTTGGTTGACTCGAGAACTTGTGAGTGTGACGTGTCCTGTCTGGCAACCCCTGAACCGTAGAATCACGTGAGTTTATGGGGAGAGAGGCTCCCTCTACAGCGAACGATCATGGATTCTTAGACATCTCCAGCGCGAGCCCTGCTTGCAACGCGCATGAATGGAAGGCCACCTACAAGGCACGCTGTGACCACCAAGGAGCCGTCCCCAATAAGGCCCAAGAGATAGTCTTTTTATTCAATTCATAGTATATTGAGCTATTTAGCCATGACATGTTTAAAATCTATAGTCTTTAGACCCTAACTCCAAATCGACTTTCACCCTTCCAACCTGATTAAACTAACCCTCTTTTATTTGTCCTACTGAAATTCCCTTCAAATGCCATCATGCACTTGGATGTATCCAAACATTCAAGTGATGCTTCCTTACCCCTTCCCAAATAAATAGAAGATTTAATTATCCAAATTTGGCACCAGCATGTTTTTCGGAAGATTTGCATTTTATGTAGGATGACACAATTTGACGATTAGAGCACTCACATCCAAATGTCATGCGTGGAAACCACTTGAGACCAGCCCTTCCGACGTGTAACCTCATTCATGAATACTCACCATAGGGAAAAGCGTCAAAAACCTGTGGCTATCCGAGTGTATGCTCATCATCCCACAAGCACAACATCACCGCGAGATAGAGTGGTGTGTGAATGTACTGGATTCGAAACAGCTTTCGCCTGTCTCGATAAACGTAGGCATGCAAGCCACCAAGAATCTACTTGGAGGGCCTGAGTGGTGTATCACTGCACCATTCAACCCTTTTCGTGCTGCCTTCCTTACCACTTGTTGTGCGAAATACGGTCGGATGTGTTCCTTTGGTGTTTGCATTCAGGACAGCTTGTGCGTACGGTTGTGAAGTGGCGTGAGGTAAACTATGTACTCCCAGAACGCCTGTTTTTTTTAATTCATGTTATTGTCCTTTCTGAGTTTATGACTTTGTAGGACATGCAGGTCCTCTCTGCCTACAGCCCAAGGATACCTATACCAGTAGTATATCCCCTCCTATGCCTCTCACACAGCTCCCCTCAAACAGTACCACCCCTCACAAGTCCTCATTCGATCATACACTTAGAGGAGCCCTTAGCCCTTCATTATCTTCCCTCTCCAGCCAACGAAACGATGGCCATTTGCGGGCGTATGGCAGCGGGGAAAATCGCAAAAACCACTGGGTGCGGAGCTCTCCTGATTCTGACCTAAGGTCTACCTAGCACGCCTGTTCTTAGTATCACAGAGTGCCTAGAAGATTCGTTTAATCTGGTGTATATTGTTTGTGCATTGCTCTACCCCAAACTCCGAGTGAGTATGTATACGCTCTAAAAAATTGCATAACTTAAAAAGGAGCTAATGCAGATCTACATCTTGGCACGAGCCAGCCACTTTGGATGGGATGATGCGGATACATTAACTCCTTCCCGCATGGCCGCATAGCTCGAATTCACCGAGCCACGGAGCCCCGCAAACATGACCAGTGCTAAGGTGCATCCCAAGCAAAGCCAATGGGAGTCGCTGACATCATTACATTATGCATCTGCGGCTTAAGTTGCCATTGGTCGCAGGGTACTTGACTTTGATGCCTCGGGCTTTTATATGTCTGCAGCCTGCATCTATTAACTAAACCCCAATCGGTGGAGCATGCATCGGAGGATTATAACAACAATCAGGGGGACTATTCTCAACGTCTGTCAGTGGTTTCCCCCACAAACCTCCGGCTCCCACTGTAGAGTCTGCAGGGCCGAGATTAAGTAACAAAGTCCTCACTTCGACGTAGGCTCCCAATCGCTTTCGCGGTCTGTATCGTTTTCATCTCTCAACACATTCCCCTATCACCATTATCATGAAGCTAACCACGATCAGATCAGATGGTAGGGTCGAAGCCCTTCTCATCACTAACCCTTGATCATGGAGGAGAAGCCATCCGATGAGTTTCCGGAGCGTACCCAGCACCCGATATGGAGATGGTGGATTGGATCAAGTCGACCTCGACTGTAATAAAGAAGGGACATATAGATAAATATGCGCACCTCATGTGGTCCCGGTGTCTAGGCCTCGCCTGGCTGGGGCAGCAAGTTTTTTGGAGACTTTTTCCCGCGCACGCAGTTTCCATTGCTACCATTTTTTTTTTTTTTTTTTTTTTTGGGTAGAAGGTTCCGTGGAAAAAGTGGCCGAATTCCACGGGTATGCACTGAGCTGAATGGCTATTCATCAAGGGGAATATATCAATGATCTTTCAAGTAACAAAAGAGGCAAGGAGCACTGTACAAGGTGTAGCCTGGGTCAGAGAGGAGCCCAATGTGCTAGATAGTCATAGACTCAAGTAGTAAAATAAAACACACACACTCGCTCGAGCCTTGTCCACAGCTCTCAGCATGGACGAAGAATAATATTTATGGTGGAAACCGTGAAAGGGAAGGAGTCAGGGTGAGGAGCGCTGATACTGGACCGTTATATTGGAATTTCATTTGTTTATTAATTTTGACTGTTAGAATTTGTTTTTGTTTTAAACCGGCTACAATTTAGGTAGTGGTTTCACGCGGTTGGAATGAGTTGGGCTGTGGTAAAGAACACAGGGATCCCTTCCGGCTCCACCGGTCTTGTACCCATAGCGGACCGGGAGCAGTAGCTTAGGACCTTAAAATTACAAACAAACAAAAAACACTCGCTCGAGCGGGACTCACGTCAACGCTATCCAGAATCTGATCGGCCCAGACAATGATCCACCACACCATCCAACCATGGCGGTGCTCACTGCGTCGCTTGCACTCTCAATCTCAAAAACCTTGTGCGCACAGTGATTAACATGTAAAACTACTTGCCATACTTCAAAATCTTAATCCTTTCGAGTTGGATGCACCGCCTGCGCCACTTTATCCGCACCTCCAGATATCGCTTACCGTCTAGTCCAAAGCTCTGTCCACCAGATTTTTGCACCACAATTTGTTTTCGGAGGAAGGTATTAATATCAGCGTGGACAACTACATGGTAGCCAGCCGAGGACAGAGAGAGACTCGAATTAAGGTGTGTTCATTGAAATGAATATGTACTATGTCGTACACCCGGACTTGATGAGGCTTAGGAAGGAATCGACCTCGTTGAGTGAAAATTTGACATGTTAGAGTAATTTGAATCATTGCCTCGTGGTTCAACTTCTTTAGTTTGCCAATTTGAATGGACTTGGCTCTGCAAAAATATATCAACCCCAGGCTCGTGGAGGACACCGCGGACAGGTGTTCAGTCTTTGCCCTCTCCATCCGTATTCAATACTATCGTCAACTTCCATACATTATAATTTATCCTCTTTAAACATTGAGTCATTTATTATGTACTTCTTATCTGATATCTTGTTTTAGCTAGCTAGCTGCATACGCAATTCAAATCTGATGCAAAAATTGTAACCCTTCTCAAACAATCTCAACTGTCCCCATGATGGCGAGCCTACCTTTTATTTTTGGGAATAAAATACCTTCCAACTTTCAACGGGCTTCTGATGATCTCAAACAGGGATGCCATACATTGACGACGCACGGGCTACAAGAACTTGCCCTATAGCTCTTTGTCCCGCAGCGGCCCTACGGAATTGCAATGCTAAATTTGTGTACTCTTGTCTGATATGTACTCCCGCACTTCATCAGTGAATGCGTAATCTACCATACTCAAGTCTCACAGTAATCTTCATGTGTACAATGTTGAGATTTTGCCCATCTCGACCCAGACGATCCGACGATTCCACCTGTGTCATTTCAAATAGATTCTGAACAATAGGCAGCTGGGCTAAAAAAAATGAAAAAATGTTACTAAAAATTATTGTAACATAGTATTTGTGAAAATATTCACCACGCTCCGTACATAAACATGTATCAAACCTACAACACAAGTCCCGTTTCGCTCGCCTCTCGATCGTAAGTCACTAAAAATTATTTTACGATTCATTCTCAACTAAATTTATCATGTCGGCCGGAAACTAGAGATCATAACATGAAATTTTACAGTTGGGTTGTCGTAACTATTGATTTAAGATGGAAACGATCCCCTGCTTGTATTTTGAATAACTTAGATAGGTATACATATTTTAATAAACATTTACTGTCTGTCCATGCCCGGGAATGCCATCGACTACGACATATATAACATATGGCCCTGGAGGAGCAAGATTGTTATTAGGAGGACTGTTGACCGAAATCTTCTGGCGTCTAGCCCCAGATTTGAAGCCCTTGATATCAAGGAAAAGCATTCGGTGACCCATATGTAAGGAATGCGTGACAAAACCACCATGGTAGAGTGCAACCTGAGCTCTTGTAGTGCCCTTTGGAACGGTAAAACTTACACTGAATAGATTGCCGTCAGCACGAATATTTCTGGTACTAAGCTCAATTTTTGATGGGCGTCTGAAAGCATTGGACCCTTGCAGATATGGAGGAATATATTTCTCAACACGGTACTCTGTAACATAGGGATCCGCCGCATCAGGCTGTAACTTTGGCATCTCAACAGGGTTAGAGCCCGTCACTAATATGGTTCCATCAAGCATGAGCAGGGCGCATGAATGGTAGAGACGCGGGATTCCAGAAGATGCCAAAGTACTGAAGCGTTGACCTAATGGCTTCGTTGGATCATAAAGTAGCGCTTCTAAGACGGGTTTGGCCATTAATCCAAACCCTTGAGCACCTCTATTACCACCATTAAGCCAGACTGAAGTGCCGTCTGGTAGCAAGGTACCTTCGACCATTCCACGGCCTTCGGGCATAGCATCCATCTCCCAAGTTGGGTTTTCATCTAGAGGAGATATTCGGCCGCAACTTGCATCAGTTGGGCTATTAATATCTTGATAAACACCTCCTCCACAGATGAGAACCTCTGGTTTCCAGTTTGTCGCGCTGGAGAGTGGGAGCAACAAGCTTCCTCCGGTATTAGGATAAGTGCGGTAATCTCCTGGAAGGTCTGGAAGTTGCTTAATGGTGGAAATACGGTCGACATTGAAAATTTCAGCTTGCTTTGCCACGAAAATAAAGACATTTCCATCTGGTAACACATGCATGAAGGGATACATGTAATAAGGCTGATTTCTCACCAAGATATCTAGCTTTATGGTCTTTCCGCGAGGGCTTCCATCACGATTAAGAATCTCGTATGTGGGATTATTATTTTTTGGGACTGATGGATCCAGACCATTTAAACTTCCGGAAACAACAAAGACGCTTCCATCAGGCATGGTTTGGACTGAAGGATACCACCGAGCCGTTGATAACTTATTACTATCAGATTCTACCCAAGACTGTCCGTCTAGGTATCTATTGGTAGAAGATCGAGCGAGAGTCCTAATGCCTCGAAAGCCATCGCCAATATTTGGGTTGACATGAATCAAAGGACCGTTACCACCAACAGCAATAACGCGACCATCAGCAAGATATGCGCCTCCCGAGCAAAATGCGTTAGTTGAGTAGGAAAGGGCGATGGCTCGATTTGTATAGGGGTCATATTCGGCTGACATAGCGTAGTGGCCATCACTAGTCATCAACTGAGAATAATTTTCTAGCTTATCGAGGAAAAAAACATTTCCATTAGGCAAGAGACCTGCATGCATCACAGCTACCCCAGATTTCCCAACGACCTGGAAGGATCCGGGTACGGGAGCTGCTGGAGCTGGCTTTGGCTTAAATTCTTGCAAGGGAGCTTGGATACAGCTCCCAGACTGGCATCCAGCTGCACAATGTGATGTAGAATTACCACAGTAGCCGTACAGAGAGCAGCAGTTTCCACTAGGCCAGTTTCCACAAACAGTGCCGTGATTATTGGCACCGCACGTACCATCTTGTGTCTCGACTTCGTGGGTTGATGGATAGCTTTCTACTTTATCATCTAGCAGTATTGGCTGATTTAAGACAGGCTCTTGTGATACTTTTGGTCTTCTCCAATACTTTTTGAAGGGTCGAAAAAGATTCATGCCGAGGGAGTAAAATGAAAAACTGCAGCCACTCTGGCATCCATTTTCTTGCAGACAATGAGATGGGGTAGATCCGCATTCTCCCGATGCTGAACAGCAACTCCCAAAAGCTGAAAGCTTACTGCACTTCTCATTTCCAAAATCCTAGATAAGCTTAGTCTAATCCGGAAGAGAAAGACGAGAAATTTCCTTACTACACCACACCTTGGAGGCCCGGAAAGGTCTCGGGAGACAACTGGATTATTCTTGCGAAAAGATAGGGGAATATCGCGAAACTCCTCGGCTAGCACACATCTAAGGACAATTACGATTAGATGCCAGATTTACAGGTTGGATGATAGACCTACTCTCCTTCGGTAGTACAACTCTGTCCTCGGAGACAGCCAGCGTACATGCGAGTGGTATCATCAGAGCTACATCGGAGTGGAACATGGGTAAAAATAATGTTTGCAGAAGCTAAAGTAGCGTATCCTATAATCGACCTCATGTTGGAGAAAGGTGTGCTAGATATTTTCTGGCAGTAGTGGGGCTAGAAGGCTTTCAATCATATCAAATGAGCGAAGAAATTAGACATCGGGGAAGTAGAAGGAAAGGCACGGGGAGAGGAACATGTAAGAAAGACGGAATGAGATATTTATGAAGGCAGTTGGTAGAATGGCAATTTGACGAAGTGGAGAAGAGGAAAGAGGTAATGACAGTATATATGCGTAAGCATTGATTTATTCATAGGCGCGCGGTAAATAATCCTACGGAAATGAGGGATCAAGATGCGATGGATACTGCACCTTATCAAGCCGAAGCCTGATTCAGTGAGTTGCACTTGACCTAAATGCCGATGACTCGGGTGGCTTCGCTTAAAGTCTCGTAGAAGAAGATATGATGATAATTTTATTAGAGTCCCTTCTGAGCATGAGCCAACGATAGATTTCTAGAATGCACAAATAGAATTCTGGCAGCATGTCATGAGTTTTAATTGTGAATATTTCGATTATTCTCCTATAGTGATTGAGGGTCATGTCCTGACAACATGGGAGGTTATGGATGATTGGTTTGGCTTATTATTTTACGTCGAATTCAATTCCTTATGTGTCATAGCTATATTGCTGATAACACTGTGATTTAAAAAACGCCAATTCCTGAATAAGACATAAGGCGCAAAGTCTGATTTTCTTGGGTGCCTGAGGCCTTCAACTGTCCAAACCTGAGTTCCTAAAATTCTATGGTTTTATTTGCAATGAGTTTAGGAGATAGTTGAGAAACCGACGTGCGTTTTCCTGTAGTCGTAGGATTGTTAGCAAACTCCCGTGCTGAAGTCTCTCTTATAATGCTGATCCAGGCCTGCCACATTTATTTCTCTCCATTCGTGTATAACGCTCATAGCCATCCTGATTCTATCGCATCTACCACTCGGTTCGAGGGTATGTGTGGTTGTCATGCGTGCACAAAACACGTAACTGGTGGAAATGACCAGACGCTTTGGTATTCTCACGTAATTTGAGGCTAAGATTAAGTTGAATCTAAAGGTCATCTGTGATTAACGGCTGATGATAATCATTCCTCGCCTAGTATATTCCTATCCTACCTCTGATTTACCAATCCAACAGTAGCGCTCCTCACAAGTCCTCATTGGGGCCTTGTGCCCTCCATCATCTCCCCCCAGCCGCCAACAAAACAAAGTCCAATTTGCAGGAACTAGACGAGTCGTACCCCTAGGGTGGGTGTCCATTGATCCTCATTTCCCGTGATGCCCAGGCTAACTCGACAAATATTACCTTCATATCGTTCGCGGCGGGGAAGCCAAGAAAGATCTTCGGAGAATTTCGATGGGAAATGTGAGCCCGTCTAGCTCTGAACTTCCCAACCTCATGCTCTGCGACACGGAAACCAGGGCTCAATTAACCAGCTGCCCATTTCTCGCGAACGATGCTTTGCATGATTGACTGAGGTGTGAGTCGTGCATAGGACCCATGCTGTTGGTTGTATCAGGAGGGAGCTCGTTGGTTTCTCGGAATACGCTGAAGACTATCAGCGCATTTGCTTCATAAGTACGATACTGTGGTTGTGGCTTTATAGATGACATTTGCAAATCTTGACTCTGAGGATAATGGAGATGGAAGAAGCATGAGGGCGTGTACACTGATTCTATGGCTGAGTTGAGATACGAAGATTGGTCTAGATACTGCTACAGTGGCCAGTTGTAGTACAACATTACGAGGTTGGTCTCTGACAATTGGAGTAAGGCAGATGTATTCTTAAAGACCGTTGTAGTTTTGTGTCATGTCCTATCGAGTCTGTGACTATATAAGTACATGCAAAGACCGTTGTTTGTAGTCCAAGGATGATAAAACAAACTTTGACGGCCGGATCACATGGGTTTGAGCACCGTCAAAACCGACAATCCAACATGTAGGCTGCAGCTACTAGAGTTGAGGAGTGCTAGAGATCAAAAATTTTCGGATCTCACGCAGAATAATCTAATAATTATAGTTTGGAGTATATAAATTTTGAGTCCGTCTGCCATGCACCAAGAAACTAGGCCTGCTGGCCCAATGGCAAGGCGTTTGACTTCGAATCAAAAGATTACAGGTTCGACCCCTGTGCAGGTCAACACTTTTGCTGTCGCTCATCTCCTGGTAATATTCTATAACTATTATTGCTTCCGTGCTATTACCACAACACTCCGAAAATATATTCCCAAAAGCTACCCTGTAAAGACGCTATTTTTACCCAAGATTATGAAGTTAGAACACGGAGGACAAGACTAAACAGCTGTACGCGGTGTCCTCTCCGAACCTGGGAGTGAAATATTCTCCCAGAGTCAAGTTCAGTCAATTTTCACAATATCGAACAAGTTGGCCCACGAGGCGGTGATTCAAAATACTCCACCATATCAATCTTTAACTCCCAACGAAATCGATTCCTACCTAAGCCTCATCAAGTTTACAAGTACGACCTAGTACATCCTCATTCCAATGACCATACCTCTTTTCGACTTTCTCTGGCCTTAGCTGGCCGCCAGATACACGCCCACGCCGATATTTACACCCGACGGAGGAAGCAAAGCGTGGCGCACAAATCTGGAAGACAGCTCTTTGGTATAGACATGAGGGGGATCAGGACAAGGTGATGCAGGGGATGGATACAGTCTTGACGGGCGTGAAATCTCGAATTTTGGCAAGGAGTTTTTACAAATTGAGCTTTGTCCGTGCCAAGGCTTCGGCTGCGAGAGTGCAGGCGACACTATAAAAACTGCTATGGTTGGATGGTGCGGTGGTACATCGTCTTGGCCGGTCTACCAAGTAGAGTCTGGATAGCTTGGACACATATCCCACTCGAGACAGTAGATCGCTGGTTCAAATCCGGCATAACACAACCACTTTTCTCGCGGCGCTGGTATGCATGAATGACGAAGGCATGCTTGGATAACCAAAGATTTTGAAACATCCCTTTGGTGGGTACTTACGAAGGAGGGTCGACTGTTTAAGCAAGCATACCTCATACTGGTATTTGCGAATGAAATCCAGAGTATGAGTGTCTCTAACGTCAAAAGACTCATCCTACATCTATACATAACATCGGTCATGTGTTGGAGCTCTGTAGCTGAATACACATAAAAAAAAAAAAAGAAACTAACTTCAGGTTTGTACTGCCACACGAGTAAAGCTGAGGTTCCTGATGGATTAGTATGTGTGAAAAGTGAGATGAGCTTAGCATCATGATGGCGTAGGTTACGGGTGTCTCGTGGCTCCAAACTACCAATTTGTATAGTAGAGCTTAAGACTAGATGTAACTTGATTTTCTATTAATACAAGGTATCGTCTAGTTAACAATAGTATTTGTTAGAATTTAGAATAATTGGGGCTATCAAATAGGCCACGTTGTCGACACACGTGACTACAAATTCTGTACTTAGTTTCACTTCGGTAGTTACGTGAATCAATGCGTTCTACAACCTCAATGACTGAGGGGTCATTATTTCCTTAATAGTATTCCTTATCTTGCGCCTGGATTCCAACGTGAACAACATTACATGAGCGTTACTATTTATCGGAGCCTCGTTCTAATCTAGAGATCTGTCAATCTTGGATCCTCAACGCCTCGGGTACTCATTGCACTATCCTTTACATTTTTTTTGCATCAGATTTTAATTGCGTATGCAGCTATCTAGCTATGACACAATATCAAAGAAAAGTACAGAAAATATGTCTCAACTTACTAGAGGAGCACTCATGCCTCATATCCTTTACATAGCCTTAGTAGCGATTTCGTATCAGTTTTAGTCTGCTGATAATCCTCGGAGTGATAGAACATGTAGGTTGCCTTTGACAGTCATCGTGGGCTACTAGACTTATCGGCTCACAAGCCGTCACACCCATATCTTGTTCTTATCATTCATTTCATTTTTATAACTCGAAATCTTGGCATAAAGCCAGAATATTCATAAAGTGGGTTCCCCCAATTGATTTCCTCTCCAGCTTAAGGTTCTCTTCTGTACCAAGATCTAGATGGCTCGTGAATAACATCTCTCTTACGACCATTACACCAGGTAGATACTGTAGAGCAAAGGTACACTTTGCAAAAAGTCCCACGTAGCCTGGGTAGAATATAATTAAATATAGGCAAGTGATGTAAGATAACTACGCCGAGTGGTAGGAGCTTGATAGATTTTTATTGGATTAGTCAAGGATCTCATGCTGGGTGTTTAGCCATAAATATAATTATTATTTTCGAGTTTAAAATATACTTTAACCATACCATGCGTCTCACTTACCCATCATTTCTTTCAACTTCAAGAGATCAACCTGGTGACCTTTGGCGATACTAATGATATCAGCGCTACTAATCAACATGCTAAAATTTCGTAGCCACATGTCCGACCCAGCCGAAACCTTAAAAGCTACAGCCATCAGCGGTTTCTTGTACTTCTTTGCAGTTAAAATGACGTGGTTTATGGCGTCAATAAACTTGGGATCATCATGATCCCCCACGCGGCGCGAGGGAAGTCCCAACGAAAGCCGTAGATCACCAGCTCCCACCATCAGTATATTGACACCCGGTATGGCTGCAATTTTGTCTGCATTCTTAACCGCCAGCTAGATTCACATTAAGATTTGGAGGTCTGAAAGCTCACATTTATAACAGGGAAATTGCAATTGACTTACTGGGCTTTCTATCTGGCAAATTACCGCAATGTTCGCATCAGCCACGCGTTCATGTGATGAGCCCGGAGCAACGTCTGTGATACCAGCTACAAGAGCCGATGGTGAGAGTGAGCGATCACCGCCCGAGCACGCGTATCTACACTTCCGTACAGCCTCGGCCGCTTCCTCAGGCGTGTCAATGTGTGGGAAAATAATACCAGAAGCTCCTTTTTAATTCCTTAGCCACCAATTTTTGGAATAAAAGTAATACAAAAACTTACCCGCATCGAGAGCGTGTGTGAGCAAGTTGGAATGTGTGGATGGAACGCGTACCACGGCAACTGTCTTTCCCTCGCTTGTAAAATTGATAGTTTGAACAAGCTGAATTAAATTTTCGGCATTAATAGCACTATGGAATGAGTTAAGATATAGCTTTACTGGGTATGGGGAGTGGTGAGGATGGTTTGAAAACAAGGGAGGGTTCAACGCACGTATGACTGGCATCTATCATAACAAATTCAAAGCCAAGCACGGCAGTCACCCGTGCCGACACTGTGTGTGGCACTGATATTACTGCACCGTAAAGATGACTGGTACAGCTGCCAGAATTGTCAAGTGTCAAGGATGCGGCCTTGGCTAAATTAGATGGCTGAAATAGGGAGTGAGCACGGTATTTTTCCATGATTAGCGGCAATAATGTTTCCCTGAAAATGTAGTGGATATTCACAAAACTAGGCTCGGGAAGAAGCACTCGACTGCATGTATAGCGTAATTGTCTCGACCGTATAATCTGAAGCTCACAAGTCCTTTCGAGTTGCTAGGAGTCAACAAAACTACCGGAAATACTGGCGACAGTCAGGACGTAGTAGTGGGATCGAAATGGCAGATAATTAGCCTTAAGATAACGGAGAAAGAGAAGAGACATGATTATTTCAATAATATATAGGAGTTATCCTAATAGTCTTGATTGTAAAATGGCATGGTCTGTATTACAAGTACCATAGAGCTCCTTTAAGATCCCGAAACTTGAAAATTCTGGAATGATATCTTGAAATGATATCGTTCTTCCAAGGGGTAGCTAGACGTAATAGAAATGTCAATGAATCTGACGTGTTCTTGACGAGCTCAGGATTTTCCCAGCACGGAAATAGATGGTAGCTTTGTTACAACATAGTGACATGAATATCCCGGGCCATGCATAGCTTGACGTTGAGCCTGACTGTATCAAGCTTATACATTTTGCGGTTGTACTGAATTCAGTAGGGCGTCGGCAAAGAATACAAAGGGCAAGTAGTGAGAGTGCTGCTGTATCAAGCTTGGTACTTCCGCGTGTCGTGGCGTTTGAATTTTCGTTCAATAACCCAGTAGAAGTTATTTTACGTCACTTGCGGTACATTGACGACGGAAAGAGGTTGAGAATTCTTGGGCACGTGGCTCCATTCTGTCATTGGACGATTTACTGCGTAACAACGGAAAGAAGCTGGAAGTCAGCGCTAGTCTTGCCCGAGCTTTTTTGTGTAAAAACAGCTTAAAAGAACCAAATTTCGGGCCGACCAACATGTTTCAAGCATGAGTATGTATCTGTATACTAGCCAGAGTTTGGTTGATAGATTCTAGAAGCCCTTCATAGTCTTAAACTCAGAAGGGGCTATAGTGAAATTCTAATCTCATCTTTGTATCTGTATATTTTAACAGCCTTTGCCTATCGGATAGAAACTAGTGTCATGTGTATACTGCTAGTAAAATCCCGAGCAATCATAAGAGCCCAGTTTACCGGGTAACACTGCCTGCCACGAGTTGTGAGAGCTGTTGTCAGGAGAAAGGTACATGATTTTGCGTTTAAATTCGTCGTGGTTGCGATTCCTGCGCCATGCTGGTAGGACAGGTGAGTAGACTAGATCGATAGGGCCTCAGCATCAGGCAACGCTCAATGAACACCGGCGAACGGAAATTCTTCGTGCAAGCCAAAATGGAAAGAAACACGGCAGGAAGTGAGCACAATGGCAGTTCTGAACTAAACCAGTCTTGATTAACTGTGAGGCTAAGGGTGGCGCAACCTCGAGCCGTAGACCTAGACGTTGGCAGAGCCATCCAAGTCCTCGGCTACCTCCCTGCGCAAATAGATTCGCCAGAGCGACGAAGTCAATGGCTGACGTTGAATCAAACCACAAGGCGTGTACCACTGACAATACTTGGTAACATGCGCACGAAGCCGCTCGTCTCAAGTATGAGCCCCACGCATCAGCTATACTGTTTGTAATGTGTGGTTTACTGGGATTACATTAGATTGGAGTGGTAGGTGTGTCGGGTAGTATTCAGTGTACAGACACCTCTATCTTGTACATCGTAAATTTTTCTCCTCCTTGGTGTCACCGGATCAATTTGGTTCAATATACAACAGGACAAGTCCAGAATATATTCAATTTATTAGTGAAATCTAAATGATGGGGACTCCATTCTTCTCGATGAATACACTGGGAATTGTAATTATCAGCGCCGATCATAACAATCTATGTTGCTAAGCAACCACATCCAGACCGCAACATTGGTAGCCCCCATAGCTAGCTAGGCCCTATTTTCCATCTCTGCCGTATGGGCGCAGACAGTACTAGCCCAAAGGATTAAACCCGTAACAACTAGATCAATATAGTCCTCAACACACAACAATCAGACCACAAGATTACCACGTCCTGCGCGTATTGCAAAACAGGAGCTTCAGGCCATTTACTACCGTAAGCTCATAATCACAACAATAGCGCATCCCAAAAATCACGCATTATGATTGCCAAACTACACCAACACATTCCCTCTAAGTAGAGAGATTTTACGCTGCCACAGGTAAAACTAACTCTCCGATCCCAAGTACTTCACACTCTCTTTGCAAAGGTCTTGTTTTAATTTTTGGTATATCCTAATTTTTAAGTGATCACCAACCAATATGACATGAAGCTTAATAATTTTTAATCAAGTTAGGATTTAGAAAAATTGGGACTATCAAATAGGCCATGTTGTTCATACCCACGTGACTACAAATTCTGTACTTGGTTTCATTTCGGTATTCACTTAAATCAATGCGCTTTACAACCTCAATGACTGAGAGGCCATTATTTCTGTTGAGACTTAATATATATATTATGATTACGGGGTAAATAATATATGGGTCACATATTTACCTGACTGTTAGTGGTCACCAGTTGGGCAGGAAGTCTGCATGACATGTTGTGTTGTGGAAGATCAAGGTCACGTGATGGTGGCCTTCGTATATTAAACAGGAGGCGGGAAGACAGATCACTCGCTCCGTTCAGGACACGAGCAAAGGACACGAGTAGAAGATATTAGTATTGGCTCTACAGAGCTAGATCACTCGTGGACTATGAATGGTGTATATATGACTGGATATGTGCATTGTAATTTTGTTAAGTCTTTATTAGTATAACAATTGTTACTTTATTCCAACAATTTCCCTAGTAAATCACGATCTACTTTCCATTGGAGGTCTACTCTGTTTACAGGAGGCCTCATTATTTTTAGCTCATCTCCACACCAGAAATTTTTTAAAGTAGGCGGTCTCATTAACTTCTATATAGAATTTAAAGATCCTAATGGTTATGATCAACTGTACATCCATAATACTGAGGAGTATATGCTTTCTATTACTTGCACTAAAACTAGGCTTCTTTTTACAGGCGTCAGCAACCCGATAAAGCTTTGAAGAGCGGAAAGAGGAGGAATGGGCCTTTATGGGAACTTTGGCCAATGAATAAACCGATACCCATCAAAGTTATTTCGGACAATCACTTTTTCATGATACACTCAATCATGATGCTGTGTGGCTAGAATGGCCAAACTCATGGCAATTCTTGCCGTGGTTGCATCTATTGCTGGAGTTATCTTCGGCACGTTGCATCTGGCGATATCTGTAGCCAAAGTCACCAGAAGTTAGTCGACGACCTGGCTGTGAGAGCGCACGTAATCGGCTGAAATTTTTGATACCATACTGCACACACGAATAACCCCTGACATCTGTGAGCAGAATATCTGGATTCCCAGATAAGCCTCCAAGCACGACAGGTCCAGAGCCTTGGTAGAGCATTAAAGATGGCACAGCCTAAATGTTACTACATCGTATCGGATCCTAGTGTGCAGAGCGCTAGTCTACTGGTATTGTTTCACGGTCTAGTAGTGATTACATAGGTTGAGGTTTTGTGGTAGTGTTACGCTTATATGCAAATATCTCCCTGGTCTGAAGCATTTCCAACGGCTATGATACGATCGCGGAATGATTACGTCTTTGATTCTGTGACTTGCCGAGCATCAGGCTAGTGGATGTATAGAAGTTAATAATAGAAGATTTAGTAGAGGAGTCGTTACCGTTTATGTGGATGACTGCCCTGTCAGAAAATATGTGTGCCTGCATGCATCGCAACTTGTACTCCACTGCTTTGGCTATCTCCTTTTTTACAGAGAATGGCTACTCGTGCTCCTAATTTATCGAACTAGATGATAGTATTAATATTCATCGCTATAAAATCTTCATTTGTTCATTCTGAGGGTCGTTGCCCATCAAAATCGTAGTCTCTTCGATCGGGGATTGCTGTCCACACACACGATGCAATACGAAGTCTGAGTTTCGGCGTGCCATCATCTCCTCGGCTATTGGGCTCGGGCGTGTTACTATGAGTTAACGCACATCAGTGGTGTTTACCACCGCCCATTGACTTAGAAGATGAAGGCTAAACAACTGATCACAGTGTCCTTTGGAAACCCTGGGGTGAAACTTGCACCCAAAGTCATGTCCAGTAAGCCGGCAAAGACAAATTCTTCGCCTTCTAGTGGTGCAGATGTAGTCGCTCAGTATGCCCTGCACATCTGGGATATCCAAGAAGAATCCCATCTGTATCGAAGTCGAAAGCAACCTCAAGCATATCTAAAGTCGACGACTTCTCGTCAATATCGGACCCATCATTCTCACGCGAGTCCTCGGCCTCAATCTTCACACAATACCTCGCCTCAACTATCGATAATGGCGTTACTCAAATTGCAATCGGGAATTTGAATCATTGTAAATCTACCATCTCTCCTACAAATTTACGATGCTACGTATACCCGCGATAAGGAAGCTAAGCCATGATTTACAAAGCCAGAGTCTTAGTCTATGGGGGATCGTTGCGATAATGAGGCTTCACATCTTGAGGAAAGACAGGCACTCGGTACGTGGGACGAACGAGTGAAGAGGTCGCAAATGGGCATATTGAGACTCTCATTTTTCGAGTATTTTCGACTTAGAGATGTCTATGAGCGCAGAGGTAACGATTTCGGATAGTGCAGCCGATACTTTAAAAATAGGCAACGATAGAAAGTTTGTTGGAAATCTAGACTCAGTATGTATGAAGGTTTAGATTTCTAGGCATGATCATCAAGATCAATTGAATTGGTTCGATTGCACATGATTAAACTCAGCTAGGCGACCTGAGATTCAGTGGTATCTGAAATATAGTGGCTAGGAAATGCTACCTTACGATAATTGAGTGGCCGTTTATTGCCGGAACACTAAAGCCTCGGGGATCTGTTTTAATGATAGACTTATTTGAATTAGTAAAACTAAGTTAACGGAATGTCACGCATTATTATTATCTCACATTTAGAAGAGAGTTCGATATCCTATACAACTATAAATAAAATCTTGTCCGAAATGGTACACTTGCTCTTCGAGAAACTTCCCAGAAATCCTTAACAATTTCCAACAAATACTGCACTGTGGCAATCATTCACTCCCAACGAGGTCGATTCCTACCTAAGTCTCATCAAGTCTACAAGTACGACCAAGTACATCCTCATTCCAATGACCACACCTCTCGTCGACCTTCTCTAGCCTCAGTTGACCACCAAATACACGCTCACGCCGATATTTATACCCGACGGAGGAAGCAAAGCGTGGTGCACAAATCTGGGAGATGGTTTTTTGGGAAGGACGTGAGAGGGATTAGGACAAGTTTTCAAGATGACGCAATGGAAAGATATAAACTCGACGGGTGTGAAATTGTAAATTTTGGCAATGAGTTTTACGAATTGAGCTTTATGCGCGCCAAGACTTCGCTTGTGAGAGTGCAGCTGACACTATAAACACAAGCCAACGATAGAAGGTGTTGTGGTCCGCATCCTGGTGGTGTTTTCGGGTACAGTATGAGTAGCCTGGGCACCTACACCACTCGGGAAAGGAGAAACCCAAGATCACATTTCGCCCGGAGAAATTTTAACGGATTATGGAGGCATGTCTGGATAACTCAGGGTTTTTGAGACGTTCCCCTGGGTGGGTATTCACGGATGAGGGTTGACTTGGGGTGAAGAAAAAGCCGGCATAACTTCGCAGTGGTACTAGTAAATGAAATCCGAGGCATGAGTGCTCTTCCTTTACGTTGAATCATCTTTTCTGTACTTTTCTTTGATATTGTGTCATAACTAGATAGTTGCATACTCGATTAAAATCTGATGCCAAAAAAAAGATACTTAGTGGGTTTAACCAACAACTCTCCAGTATAGTTTTTAGACTCTTCAATCTCCCGACTCGTTTGACTGGGTGATATTAAGCATAGGTCTAACACCTGAAGCTTGTCTACCAAACTTCCATTATAATAAGAGCTAATTAGCGTCCCAAACTAATATGCTGCCTCGTTTTCTTATATACAGCTTGCGTCTAAACTGTTTCTAGTACGAGGTAACTACAGGAGAGAAACACGTTGGAAATGGAGACAAAGTATGTTGTGGATGTAAGGGCCCTCCATTTTGTCTCGGTTACTGTTGAAGGAGATAAAGGATCACTTAAAGCAGAGCGGAGAAGGGTGAATTGATTATTTGTTTATACATAAAAGGTGTTGATCAAGACCAGAAAATGGAATAAAAATGTAATTGAGTAAATCAGTCAGAAGGGTAGAGTATTAGAAAATGGCTAAACTGTCCTTTGCAGCTATTATGGTGACATGAATTAAGATGATGATTGTGATTGAGATAGATTTCTATATTGTTTATTATACATGATATGCTCAGGTTCGTATACCTCGAGCCAAGCAACCAGACTATGATCCTCCAGATCTAGATTCATCAGAATAATTACTTACTCAGTAAAATTCTCCTAGTCTCGGTTATGTGTTTAGGATATTGACTAGGTTTCTAGTAACTAATCAATAATGTTTCTCCTATCACTGAGACATAGTCATGGTTGATACAACAGGTACAAACAATGAATCATGTCTGTACATGACGTTGTGATATAGTCATGATCATCTGAACAATATCAACTCATGAATGAATCATGTCTCTACATGACATAGTCAGACTTGCCATTGTGTCTCTATGGAGAAACCTGTGGTACGCGCCCAGATTTTTAAGGCGTGAACTCCCTCTACTAAAGCCAGAACCCAAGATATGTTGGGAGTAACATTCTGGGTCCTCTTTAGCCGATTCTGGTACTGCTCAATATGGTAGAAGAAGTGATCGGTAGATTTCCCCTGTCCACATGAACAGGTTAGAATGGCGTTTTCGTGCTTAAACCACAAATGGTATTCCGCAAAGTCGCTGGGTCCAGATCTTGCAACTAGTAGATATCCGAGTATACGTCGTCCAATATGGATGAGCTCAACAGTGATATTGATATTCGATCCAATTCCTAGCTCTTTGTATCGAGACGGTAAGTTTTCAGCTCAGTAGAGTGCGGTAGAAGCCTCGTATTGGGAATTGATTTCCCTCTTTGCTCTAGCAACGGAGATTTCAAGTGGTGGAGCTGAAGCCGCACATGCAGCTTTAGCAAGCGCATCAGTAGCTTCGTTTCCAATGATACCTGCGTGGCCTGGTCACCCATGAACAGCCACTTCCCTAGGCGTCGTATTTTGGTCACGTGACCTCGTATTCTAGTTTACTGCGAGCTTGCGAAAGTGGATGAATTTTGCAGAGCTAGAATCGGTGAGTGAAAAGAAGTTCACAATATTAATTTGCTTTTATTGTCTACAGAGCGAAGGCGAACACTATTGCCCCATCCCAGGGAGGGCCTGGTGACTGGACAATAGTTTATATTTCGGCTGATGGGGAGCTATCTCAGAGGTCAGTCAGGTGTTGCAAATCCCGTCTTATTCTCTGGTGTGACTCCTTTACCAAAACTTACAAGGCCTTGCAAATATTGATCTTTGAAATAGCTTTTCGTGTTGTTACTGCAGGTTTCGATCGCATTTGCCGAATATTCTAGGTAGTCTCTAAACGTTTTTTTCTTCATAACAAGAAAGCTTTCACTCTTTTTCGATAATTCCTGAAAGACTCTATTTTGGATTCAAATATTCCAATAGAAAGATATGCTTAGTAAGTATATCCTAGAGCCTACTGGAGGGTGGTCGTCCGAGTATGATTGGATGTTGAGTATGGCATCCGCGTTCCAGCGTAGACAATAGAATTTACTCGATTCACAATTACTCAAAGGGTGCTGGTGTTACTCGCCTCAGAAAATATCAGTAGCAAGATGTAGTAAGCGAACAGATTTAGAGCAAAGACAAAAAATCAAACTGGTGTTATCTGTGGTTCAAACCGCACGTTCCCAAGACAAAAATTGGAAGTGGCTCCATTGATCCAGACTATAGTACACACTACTTATCTTTGAATGAATCGTTGTAGTGGCCAACTTAATTGTGATGCTAGCGTCGCATGGACCTTCAAGATATATGAATGCTGTTTGGAAAATTTTGTGAAGGTGGATATAAATATATGAATTATACAAGAAAATAACATGAATCATTTATTGTAATAAGAAGTCTAGGCGGGTAGCTAGAATATCTCTTTTTTTCAAGTTGCAAAATATAAGCTCATTTACCAACTTGGGACCCTCTGGATAAAAAAGAAGATATTTCTTTTGTGCTAGTGTTTGCCTGATATAAGACCGTTTTGCGGCAACTTGAATGAAGTGAACACTTTTTACATTGTCTTTCTGTCGAGATTCAAGCCACCCGAGGTCAACTAGGTCATTTTCATAAATTAAAGCCACTATCTAATACTGCGAGATATTAAGCCAGATGCTACAAACTATAATTTATGAAATTTTCCTTGAAGTAGCCTTAGTGCCTTTCGGGAAGAAATTATTAAATTCCGTAAGGATATTTCACTGAAGGACAAAGAGTTATTCAATATCACCTTGATCATTCCATATCAGGAAAGCGAAGATCTACCCCGAATTGCGGCACAATATATCTCTTCAGCTTTCCTGATTTTCGTAATTCTTCTGAATACTCATTTAATATCTTCATATCTTCGGGGCTGAGGATGGTCGTGGAATCTTTGTTTTCTGTTATGCGTTCAGGAGTGACTGATTTGGGGATAACCGAAATTCCTCGAGTGACTAAATTTGGTTAGTAATAAGGCACCAAATTTCCCATGTATACTTACCCTGATAACTCAACAGCACTGACGCCGGTGTAATATTTCTATGCTCGGCCACTTTTACGATTGTTGGTTCAGTGAACATTGGGCATCCTGCACTTCCAAAAGGACTATAGGCCGTAATATGAATACCCTTCGAATGGCAATAATCAACAATCTCTTGTTGTGGAAGCGATGGATGATTTTCTATTTGGTTGACAGCAGGAATGACTTTTGCTTCCGCAATTAATTCCTCTAAATAAGGAACAGAACAGTTGGAAACTCCGATCGCCTTGACTTTACCTGTAGCCAAGAGGTTCTCCATACTTTTCCATGTTTTTACATGTGACCAATCCCTGACTATTTCGCGTGTTCCATCTGGCGCTCGCGGAGATAGATCGTGGTTACCTATCAATAATTCGATGAGAATCTATTTCCAGATATTGCTGATATTAGGGTGATTTACCATGAGGATTCATAGCAAAAGGCCAATGCATCAAATAAAGATCAACATATTCCAATCCAAGGCTTTTGAGACTCTTATCAAGTGCTTCCTCTGCTCGAGAATGATATGTAGACCAAAGCTTGGTGGTAATGAAAACGTCCTCACGCTTCAATCCCTTTGAAAAAGCCTCACCTAAAGCTTCGCCAACCTCAGACTCATTTTCGTAAACGTATGCTAATCATTGTTAGTTGTAGCTCTTTTTTCGCCGCCAACAAGGAATGTTTACCGCAGTCAATGTGTCTATACCCTACTGATAAGGCGTGTGTAACAGCTTTTTGAACCAATCCTGGACCTGACCTCCAGGTTCCTAAGCCTAACGCTGGTATCTCTGCGCCGGTATTCAACTTAAAGCGCGTATCAGCCATTTTCTTGGTTCAAATATGGACAATCTTATGGTAACTAAATTCAAAGCGAGTCGAAGGACAAAGTAGCACTATCATCTAGGAAAGGAGAATCTGGAGGCGTTTTAAAATAATCCTGGCTTGCATCCCCTCACCCCCACCTTTCCTGCATGAACTCTCAATTGGACCGGAAGCAGGTTTGTGGAATTTTGTTGGGGTTTCCTCTCTTAATGTGAAGACATATATTCAAGGGCATCACTTGAGAATCAGCCTTCTCCCCATCTTTATTTTCTTCATTTATCAGCGGTTCGGTGTTGCGGATTCTGCCAATATCCCTCTTAGCATACAGCTATCTTTTCTCAGTCTAAGGTAACATAGTGTATATTGGTTCTTTCCGCCTGGACGCCAAGGATACCTGTATGAGTAGAATATCCCCTCCTATTCCGCCCACACATTCTCCTCAGGCAGTGGCACCCCTCTTTTTTTGCATCGGATTTTGATTGCGTATGCAGCTAGCCTACTATGACACAATATCGGAGAAAAAGTACTGAACCTATGACTCAACATGAAAGGAGAGTAATTATTCCTTTGATTTCATTTGCAAGTGCTTCACCAGAGTTATGGTGGCTTTTTCTTCGCTCCAAGTCAACTCTCATCCGTGAATACTCACCAAAATAAAGCAGAAGCCCTGGCCAGTCCAACTACGCTAGTTAGTGCAGTGTTAATGACTGGAGTCGGGCGATAAGCGCGTTTTTTCGGGGTTGATAATTATCCATGGAGGCAAAATTAATAGCTGCCTGCACCAGCCGTGAATCGAACACGGGGCCCATCGAACCTGATCATGGCAACGATGGATTTTACCACTAAACCACTGGTGCTCCTTGATTCATTGTTAACAAAGATAATGTACTAACAAAAAGAAAGCTTTCCTGTTTGGCTTGCTAACTTTATAGAGAATGAAATGACACAAGGGAGGTCAATGAACTATATTTCTCTTGAATGTAGGATTTACGCATATAAAGCCGCAATATATTGATGTGTTCATGATTGCCCACTTACCCGTACTTCACTTTCACAATTAATAGTCAGCCGCTTGTTGTAAATTCTGATTCCTGAGTTTATAACTCACTTGTTGTCTTTTTCGTCTGTAGTTCCCGACATGTCAGACTTATCTACAAATATCTTAGGTGAGATAATCCCACTTGCTGTTTCCTACATGTTTGGACATTTACGCACTGGATTGTACATTGTTTTATCATGAAAGATGAGATGTGCTTGCTTATAACTAAGTATGACAGGCATTCAAGACTAGTTGTGATCTATCTCAACTATGTATATTGAAATTTAACGTTTCAATGGTTTCCAAATATGAGGTCTTCTTAACTTCATTATACTTTGTCCATGTAATTTTGTACAGAGTGTAATTTTCTAACACGGTGACCTGCGTCATGTTGAATTCCTTGCACACAATCTAATTGTGGTGTAGAACCATAACCTCAGCGTGGAGGAGTGTCAGGAAACGGACGATTCGCATAAGTCATATGGACTCGCTTAATCAAAGCAGCGACCCACTGTAAATATATATTTTGTAGATACTTAGATAGACTTTACTTCCTTCTAGACACTTTCATTCAACAAGATTAGACCTCGTCGATCCCAGCTAAGAAAGCTTCTCGTGGCAGGGAAGACGAAGGCTATTAACTTGCCAGTGATATATTCCGAAAACCCTGGAATGAAATGTTATCTCAGGCCTCCTCAAACGGTCGAGTCGATTTTCCGTAACCGAGTCTTGTTAGAATAAGCGGTACTGGGCTGCTTTTTCTCAGACTCTCGCAAAGCTGAAATTCCGTTACGAGAGAATGTAATTGAGAGCATTCGTCCGGATGGCGATTGGGAGGAGCAGTGTTGGCAAGATTTTAGTCAAAAATCTGGCCTTCAGAGATATCACGACCGCATAACCCAGCAAACGCGAACATCTACACCCCAAATAATAACCGCAGAAAGGATCAAAACTTTCTGATAAAATTATTAAAACATATGACAATTACCAAAATTGAAAGTTTTCCTGAACTATCTTTACTGGCCAAACTAATCTCACGACCCTATCCACAATTTTCTCACTGCCTATGGAAGCAATACAATAAATCTAAAGATAATAATCGTCAATAACGAATCTTGAGGACTTCCAATTCCTCGCAACTGTTCTCCGCTATGAAGGTACTGTCGGAGTACCAGACTTAAATGTATCTTTACCTCGGTCTGCGACAAATTGTAACCGACGAGATACACACGATATTTCCCCGGCACGAAAACTAGGACATTAGACAAAGGCCGAGTGTTTAGAGCCTCTGCATGGAGCTCTTTAACGTAATTTCGGCTTCCACAATTTTGGCTATGGAAGTGAAGGGGCAAAGCTCGAGGGATAGTGTCTGTAGATCCGGATAATCGATATTCTCAATACGCAGCGCTGTGCCGCAGTAAGGATTATATTCATATGTCAAATTTCTTTCTATCTAGCTGTAGAGCCCGAGGGCGGTTAGATCATTGGTAATTTCACTCGCTTTATTTGCGAGAGTTCGTGGATTCAATCCTCACATTCTTTAATTTAAATAAAGGTGACAAAACTCGATATCTATCAGTGGTGTCCCCTACAAAACAAAAGATCTCGCTGTAGAGTCTGCAGAGCCGAGATTGAGTAACAAAGTCCTCATTTGCGGGGATTCCCAGTCTCTTGTTGAGAGACGATTCGCCAGCTTCTCGCAAACATATGTCGAAAATGATGTTTATTTTCTATCTAAAGCGTTGTAATATCAATGAGGAATCCTCAATGCCGAAGTAGATTTGTGGTCACCTGGCAGGTATGGGAGTTTGTTTTGTGAGTAGGCAGTAGTCACATGACTTAGTGCGGTTCGCCGTGTCGCCCATATGGCAGACACGCCCGCAAGTGAATAGAACAAAGAATCAACACATCAGACAGAAACCCATTGCGTACGCGTACACGTGTATATAACCAACCGACATAAAGGGAAATTAATCTTTATGCAACTTACCACAGAATAAAGACTACGCGTCGCGTCGCATCCTGGACTTTACATAAGCAATTACATGATCCTAACTAAATTAGGAATGACGCCTGTCGGGAGCCGGATAAACTCCGGTTCCTGGTAAATGTTTGTTTTTTTTTATTTTTTATTTTTTTTTGTTTTTATAAATTTTAGGTCCTAAGCTATGCTCTATATCTCCTAGGAGTCAAGGAACGGTGTACACGGCCAAGATCATGCTTCCCACATGCCCGACTCGGTCTCACTGCGTGACCCACTACACAACCAGTAGCTAGTTATAAGAAAGAATTTAAATGCTCCCACAGACTCCCATAACCAAAATTCCAAATCCAATACTCCAATTTGAGGTGGGAAAGCGACACTCCTCGTCTCGTTTTCCTTCCTGTCATGCTTCGTGCTATGACCTAGTTAATGTTGTCTCCGCTGAGAGCTGGTGACGGACTTGCAGGTGAGTTGCCGAAGCAGCCAGTTTCCTGCGCAAATTTTGTAAAATCCTCAAGGCACTTAGGCCCGAGAAGCTTTTGGACAGAGTCGTGATGTGACATTGTCCCTCGGAGTCGACGCGTCTGACGTTCGTGCAGTCGACAGTGAATGAAGTGGAGAGGTGATGTTTCCTCTCCACACGCACACTCCATAGAAGCGGTGAAGTTGTTGAAACGACGGTGACATGCAGCGAAGTTTCCGTGTCCCGTTCGAGCTGAGATCAGTTCACGTAGTAACCGCCGAGAAAGTGCCTGCTCCTGTGGCTTGCGTCGTCGCATGAGTAGACCCAGATTTCGATACCTAGGTGGACATGCTTCCTCCCACCATTCCTCGAGAAGAGCTTGACGTTTCTGGTTCATCAGACGACGAACGTACACCAAAGTGACGGAGCCAGGCTGGCTCTCTTTACTTGGAAGTTGTTGGAGGCCGGAGCGTGCAACTCTATCAGCCTCTTCGTTTCCCTGTATCCCGGAGTGGGCTGGTATCCACTGAACCGAGACTCGAGCCTTTTCTGATAGCGCCCTAAATTGGCGTACATCGTCGAGACTTGTTGTGGCGGTTCCTGTCAGCAGTGCCTTCACTGCAGACTGACTATCCGTCAACACGTTGATCCACTGCCTGCCGTTACTTCTCCCGTTCTCTCTCTCCAACAATCCTAGCGCAGCTTCCAGGGCCTTCCTCGCCCCTAGTATTTCCGCATCGAGCACTTCACCACCATGCTTGATACCACATCCCTTCAACAGAGTCTTTCCATCCCTCTTCAAGACGAACCCCCATGCTGAGCGACCATGCCCCTCCGACGATCCATCCGGGTAGGCACAGATATCCGATGGCAATACACCTCTAAGGAACCGAGTTACCTTGTCCTCCTCTTCTGTCCTTGGGCCGAAGTTCGACAGATAGCATGGCGGCGGCAGAGGCTTAGCGTCTTCCGCGTCCGGGAGTTGTCGGAAGGCCCGCTGCACTCTTGACATCTGGATCTCCGGATTCTTGGGTGCCCGAGCATTTTTCTTGTACTTCCTTGTTCCATTGTTTGGACACACGGCGGCACGGGTCCGGAGCGGGTGGCGGTTGTCCAGTGAGTGGAGCCGAGCCGAAAGCCGTAGTCGGTTCCCTTCCAGAATGATCTTCCCTGTTGGGATACCTCCTTCTCGGTGGAGAACAAGATTCGGTGTAGTTCTCATTACCGGGAGGGCAGCGCGCAGTCCCGTCAAGATTGCCTTGTCAATCATCTCGCAGAAAATGCTGGTTCGAGGTGTGATGATCCCCCTTTTGGTCGGACGTTTGAGGCCGGGCCACCAAACATCTGCTCCGAAGGTTGCTATGGGGACAATGCACGTGTCCACTGCTCGAACCAGTGCTGCAGGGGCAGCTCCTCGATACGCAGAGTTGAAGCGGCGCAATTGCTGGGCCACCTTCAGAGCTTTGCCACACCACGTCGTGACGTGATGTTTGAAGTCCAGCTGCGGGTCTAGGTAT